TGCTTATAATTCAAAAGTAAAACAAATGAGTATATAATAACAAAGTAAAGCCCCTTCTCAGCCTTCCCAGACCCCAATCTTTTTCGTACATCCAGAGGTAGCCACTCTTAAGAGTTTGCTATACACCCTCCTATACAGCCTTTACACACACACATTTAAAACATTGTAATAAAAAAGTATAATAATACACATGCTGATTGTGAAAAATATATATCAGACAGCACAGAAGTATATAACATAAACTCTGCCTGTTTCTTTCTCCATCTACCTCCTCAATGCCATTGCCTGGAGATATTGCTATTAAATGTATTATATTTTCAAGACACATAATTTTGTTGTTATCCCCCTATCGGTGGCCATGTGGGTGGTTTCCAATTTTCTGATATCACAAGTAATGCTGCAGCAAACCTCCCTGCATATACAGTTCTGCCCACTTTCATAAGCATTTTGTAGAAGCAAAAATTGCTGGGTCCATGTGTATTTTATTTGCTGTTTAAATAAATGGATCGAGGGTGTTTTTCCTGCCTCTTAAGTATTTCGTTTCTCCTATCAGATTGTAATGTCTGATGACATCTGAAGGGACTGGCGTTTCTGGCTTTGAACTTTTCCTATTAATGTTGCATCAGACCTAAGGGGGTTTCTGCCTACGACGGTGGTTTTCTACTTTCGGTAGGAAGACCATGGTTGGCAGTAGAGCATTGCTCTAGATGTCATGGAAAGTGGGTGCTCATTCTGGGTTAGCGAGGAACTAGCTGTGTTATGGGGCCAACGTTGATCCTATTTTCTTCTCCGGGAAAGGGGCTGGTAATTCCAGCTGTGGCTGTGCACTTTGCTTTAGGGGTCTGGTGACATCCCAAATGCAAAGCATCCTAGCGAGGGGAGGGGACATCAAGGCAGCACGTGCTCATTGCATCTGTTCTTCTTCCTTGTCTTCTCATTGGCAGTGGCGGTCCCCACCCACAGCAGCTTCTGGCAGTTTCAGAGGATGGTCAAACACGTCACAGGGCGGAGCGCCTTCTTCTCGTATTACGGATACGGCTGCTACTGTGGGCTTGGGGGCAAAGGGATCCCTGTGGACGACACTGACAGGTGGGTGCAGCGGCTGTGGGGCCGCCCATCATTTGATTTGTATTGAAGTCCATGCTCAAAGCTAGAGAGAGGCTACTAGGATTCTTGCCTGGCAGGTAACAGAAACCAACTCAGGCCAGGGTAAGGAAAACCTGAACGGGAGACAGAGGGTGGTTCTTCAGGCACCCAGGGTCAGGAACAGCTTCTTGAGTGTGTGACCTGTGAATGGCCCAATGTATTTACTGCTCTGCTGTCACCGTCTTGAGATTCTTAATAAGGGGCCCTATGTTTTCATTTTGCGCTGGGCTCTGCAATTATGTGGTCGGTCCTGCCCAGAGCTCTAGAAACTTTTTCCTTCTCATGGTCAACATGCCCTTCTTTCAGCTCCCCGGCTTTGGGGATCACAGGCACAGCAAGACTGACTCACCGTCTCCCACTTCTAATTCCATGCTCCAGGAGAGGGAATCCAAGTGGCCCAGTTTGGAAAAGTTGTCCATCTGGGCAAGGTCGCCTGGTACAAACCTGGCGTCCAGGCCCACTCCTAAGGGTGGGGGTGAGGGAGTGTGAGTCCCTAGAAAAAGCAGAGGTGGGTGTAATCTGGTGAGCGTATGAGGAGGTAGGAAACAGGACACTTTGCATGTTATTTCATTTGAAGACATAAGAAAGCAAAATATTCCTTGCCACATTTAACCTAGCATGGAGAAATGTGTCCTCAGAGCCAGGCCTGAAATATCACTCCTGGCACTTGAGTCCCCTGGGTTGGGCTCATGGAACCACGAATGTTCCAGCTGGACGGACCCCAGAGCCCTGGAAGGGCGCTGGCACTTAACGAAATGCCCGTGTGGGCCAGGCGGTGGGATGGGTGACTTGCACAAGGGGCCCAATTTAATCCTCACCAGGAAGGGATGAGGCAATGTCACAGCTGCAGTTTATAGGTGAGGACCACAGGAATCCAAGACCAAGAGTTGCTGACTCACCCTGCCAAGGCACGCAGCTCCTAAGCGGCAAAGTCAGGATTTGAACAAGAATTTGCCGATTTCAAAGTCTGTCCCCTTTCCCCAATGCTCTGTGCCTCCCCGTCCAAGTGCAAAGGCTGATTAGAAATTGAACACTGTTAGCAAAGATGACTAATGGCAAAGCGTCCGCCTGCGGTGGGAATGGCGAGAGGGAGCCCGAAGCGTCTCTCTTAGCAGTTCAGGCCTCAGACTCCAAGCCCAGGTGTCTGCACTCCAGCCCCATGCACAGGGGGATGTTATTTCTCCTCCAATGCTCCCCCATCCAGCCTCCAGCTAACTCTGGGCACCCCAAGAGCAGAGACTACATCTGTTTGTGCTGACAGTTGGCTCCTCGGGCAGCTTGGCACACAGTAGGTGCCCAGTTCAAATTGTTCAGTGAGCAAATGAGTCATATGGATCTAGATTCAAGTCCTGGATCTATCATCTTCCACTGTCTAATTTTAGGAAATTCGCCTCTCTGAATCTCATTTCCTCCCCTACAAAATGGGGACGGTGATTGTACGTTGGAGGGTCACCGCAAGTAGCTAATGAGACAGCCGTGGGTACCAAAGAGGGCTCGGTGACTGTTCCTGGTTATTTTTATTCTTTTTAATATCATACCTCCCCACCTTCAGTGCCCTCTCGCCCAGGGGAGGAGGCAGGTGAGTCCTTCCCAGTTGCCACCCGAGGTCCTCCAGCCACTTCCCCAGGGACCCACCCCCAGGTACAACCCCTCACCGCCCTCCTGTCTGGCTCCAGATGCTGCCGGGCACACGACTGCTGCTACGAGAAGCTGAAGGAGCTCGGCTGCCAGCCTGTGCTGAACGGCTACCAGTTCCACATCGTCAATGGGACGGTGGTCTGTGAGTAGCCTTCTCTGTAGGGAAACGTCTTTGAACCTGGCCCCTTCCCTAACGTCTACCTCCTCTTTGACCCACAGAACTTTTTGGAAATGAGATTTTTTCCAAGTGCTTTGAGATGGAAGGAGGCAGTCCCGAGAATCGGAGCTGCTGGGAGGGCCCTTGCTTTGTCCCGCCTGGTCTCTGCCCACAGCTGTATCTCCAGTGTCCTCTGGGAGCCCAGAGCCTGGCAGATAGTACATGCTCAATAAACCGTTGTTGGCTTGAGCTTGCATCGAGTTTTGCAGCTTGCCTTGGCAACTGTCGCTGTTGAGGCCATCTTTCCTTACTTCTGTCATGTGTTAACAAAGCAGCCGGCTGTCTTGCAGTTGAACAAATATTTGTTAAGGGCAGCTGAGTGCCAAGCACTGGGGTGGATGCCGTGAGGGCCACAAAAACACATAGACGAGAAGGGGAAGGGAACTCAAGTGCGGTTGAGGCCATTCAAGGAGCTGGGTGGGCAGGTGGACAGGGCGTCCTGCACACAGGCGAGGCGCTGGCATCCAGAGCGTGTTCCGGGGCTGGTGGTGTGTGGGTATGTGCGGGGCAAATCCAGTCTAAAAAGCAAGCGTATTCAAAGGTATTAGGCGGTGGCCTTTTGTGAGTATGATCTGTGTCTCCGTTGCCGGGTGGTTGGGTGGCCTTAGCAGTGTGCACCCTCCTGCCTGGCCTTGGGGGTTGTGCGAATCACAGCCTCAGCTCCGTCTGCTGCTCGGCCTGCACAGCCCCCTACGCCGAGCACACGGTCGACAGGGAAGGACCCCCCCAACTCTGTTCCCCATATGAGCTCAAGGAGGCCTCCTGAGCCGGAGCTCTCTGGCCACGGTCATCCTCAGGCCTAAAGCGAAGTGTCTCTTCTGTGGCACCCCCAAGGCCACATTCAGGAGATGGGAAGGGATCAGGGCCTTGTGGGAGGAGTAGGGACAGGGGACTGGAGAAGGTGGCTCCCCAGATACTGTTTGCTTTGGTGTACAACGTCCTCCTGTGCCAGGGGCCGAGTTTCTAATGGCCTCCTCCTGCTGCGACCTCGGAGTCAGGCAGAGCTGAGCCTTCGTCTCCTCATCTGCGGAACGGCTGAGTAGCTGCACTTCGTGAGGTCTCTGGAAGGATCGACTGAGGTGACCCAGCTACAGGGGCTGGCTGCAGTAGGTGCTTCACTGATGCCCTTCCTTTTAGATGTGGAGATTCGCTTTTTGTCCTGGTTTTCTTTGCCCCTTTGCTTAAGCACTGGCATTTTCTTTACCACTGTTCAGAGCTTCCTTTGAAGAGCCTGCTCTGCATTTGCCCCGCCCCCCCGGGCTAAGGCCCCTCACCCCTTATGGAATAAAACCTCTTCCCTTACCCTAATGGCTCCTCCATTCAAACAGCCACCCCTGCAAGGGTTAACTGCCTCCAGCCTCCCCGGTTCTGAAATCCTGCACCCAGGCCTGGTCCCAGGTTGCCTAGCAACCAGGGGCTGCTCTGGGATGCAGTAGGTGAGCAGGGGAGAGAAAGGAGAAAAACAACTTGGTCTGTCCACCTCTCTAAATGTCGCTGGGAGATCAGTGCCGAGAAAGGCCTGTAACCTGAGCCCAGGGACCAGTTTGCCTGGTGGGGACAGCTGCCCTCAGGCCAACTGGGAGGTGGTTTTTTCCCCCTCCTTCGAGTGGGCTTACATAAGTACTTGGCATCTGCAAGGGACTTAAAGATCACCCAGGGGTGACGTCCCCTCCACCCCCACTCGCATACATATGTGGCGTGGGGAGGGGCCCGGCCATGGGAGGCAGAGGCTGGGTTCCAGCCAGCGGTGCCTCTGTCACCTCCATCTCCTGGCCTCTGACTGCCTCTTTCTGCCAAAGGGGGAAGGCAAAAATGGTAACCATCGAGATGTGCAGCTTGCAAAGACTGTTCTCAGTTACTGTGGAATGTATTCCTCCTCTCGCGGACACATCGCCCATCTTCTCTCCCAGCATGCACCTCTACCCCAATGGTCTTGCTTACTCCTGTGTGTATTCGTGCACCGACTCTCCCCCCAGGTAGAATGGAAGTTCTGTGACAGCAGAGTGCGGGCCTGTCCTGTTTGGGGGGCTCTCATTCTTAGAGCCCAGCAAATGAGGCCCCTGGACCATTGCAGTGTGGGGTCTGCCTTCTCATACCTGCACCCCAGGTTCCTAGCCGAAGGCCAGACGTGCGCTGGGAGCTCAATACCTGTTTGTTTACCGAGTGGATGAACTCACAAAATAGACACTCACAAAATAGGCAATGCAGGTGTCTTTATCCCCATCTGAAAGCCGAGGAAACAGGCTTGGAGAGGGAAGCAACTTGCCCAAGACCCTAAGCACAGGAGTGGCAGACCTAGCCCCTGAATGTGGCCTCCTGTCCCTGGGGGTGGCTCCTCCCCTGGCCACTGTCAGCAGGTAACGGTGGAGCATTCACTGCCTGCAGGGGCTGGAGCTCAGCCCCCAGGAAGACAAGATCCCTGCCCTGAAGGAGCTTGTGCTCCGGGAGGGTGAGAGGCCGTATCATATTCATAAATACAGAGACATTCAGACAGGAACAAGTGCTCGGAAGCACCTCAGACAAGGTGACAGGCCGGGGAATGACAGGGTCTGGGGGAGGAAGGCCTCTCCAGGCCAGTGTGCTGGGAGCAGCGGAGCCTTGGGAAGGGGCAGAGATGAGGTTGGCGTCTGGCCGGGTGGACGGGGCAAGGCCCTCGCCTACCACTTCCGTGGCAGGGGAGCCCTTGGAGCGTGTTAAGCAGGGGACACCCCCACTTTGCTCTAGAGAGGCCACCCCAGCTGCTGTGCGGAGGAGGGGAGCGAGGAAGGGGAGAGAAGGCCCGCTGGGAGGCTGTTTCGAAGCTCTGGGGAGGTGCGACCACAGCTGGGTCCAGTGCAGGGTGGGGGAGTGGGGAGGGGTGTCAGACGCTGGGAATGCTCTGGAGGGGGGGTCGACAGGACCTGCTGGTGGATTACATGGGGGTGTGGAGGAAACAGAGGCTGAATCTGAGGCTCTTGGCCCGAGCGGCCGTGGATGGGGCTGGTGAGGATGCGGGGAGAGAGCGGGCCTTGATGACGCCGAAAGTTTGGCGGGAGCCGTACTGGGTTGAGACACGCATCAGACACGCAGCAGTGGCACGTGGACACGTGCTTTGGAGCCTGGAGCCCACGCAGGGGTCTGGGCTGGAGCCGAGAGCCGGAGCGTATTTCCAGTCCTGACACTGAGCAAGAACGGGCCAGGGGCACAGGCGGGCCTGGCAGGGGTCTGGGGCAGCCGCGGGCAGACCTGTTGCCTCGTTGCACGTGTGGAGATGTAGTTCACGGAATGAGAAAGAACGTTCTGAAGCCGTCAGTTCCTTTCTTTATGCCCCAGTTTCTCCATTAGCACATTGGAAGATGCAGGATTGGGATTTGGCCTTGTTTTTAAAAGGTGGCTTCCAAAGACGCTTTTCTTGGCCTGGGGTTGCCTCTTCCAGGTCGTGGCAGGCCAGTCCCACTGCGGCCGAGGGATGCCGAGAAAATGACAGTCCACAGCGAAGGACCACCGTCCAAGGCCAGTTCCAGAAGACCTGGGCGTGGGCGAGCCGTGGCAAGTGAACGGAACGGCAGGGAGAACGAAACTTCACGTAGAGACGCTCGGAAGACAGGCGAGGAAGGGAGAGGGCAGAGAGAGAAAGGAAGGAGGAGGTTTAGAGAATCGAGATGAAGAAGAGACAGGAAAGGAGAGACAACCAGAAAACAAGATAAACGGAAAGAGAGGCGGACGGGAAGGGAGCGTGGGCGAGAAGAAGGCTGAGGAAGATGAGACAAGCGTCGGGATGCCAAGGGGAAAACAACCGGGGGGGGCAACAACCGAAGCCAAGCCCGCCGGGAAGAAAACCAAGCCGCCCGGCCGGGGGGGGCCGGGCCCAAGAACCCCCCACCCCCGAGAGGACGGGGGGCTCCCTGGGAGCTGGGGCTTGGTGGGTCTGGAAGGACTGTCTCAGAGGCAGGACAGGGAGTGTGACGGGCAGAGGGCACGAGGTGCCAGGAAGAGTGGGAGAGGCAGCCCGGGAGCGCCAGAGGCAAGAACATCCCTGGCAGATTTCCCGAGGGCGAGCGGGGAGGGGCCATGAAGCCTCGGGCGGCGTCGCAGCCTCGGAAATCAAGTCTCCAGGGACTTGTGGGAGGACAGCTCTGCAGGACACGGACTTGGCAGAGGCAGGACGGCACACAGACAGGCTGTAGCCAGCTCGGGGCCAACTCCACAGGGCACCGCTTCCTCCGCCCTCGGAGCCGGCGCGTCGCCCTGATGACAGCAGCAAGCACCTGTGACACCTCCTGCGTGCCGGCACATCCAGCCCACCTGTAAACAACAGTCCTCGCCACGGCCCTGTGGACTAGACAGGGACTCATTTGTGACAGGACTGAGTTTTAGCACCATTTTCTAGATGCGGAGACTGGTACGAACTTGCCCAAGGTCGCAGACCAGGGAGTCTGGTGGTCTCCCTTCCTCCCTCCCAACCCGGAAAAGAGAGTGCACCTGGGGTAGAATTATCTAGAAAGAGGAAACTGTGCCTGAGGTAGCCCCTGTGTGTGGTGCGTGCGCACACACACACACACACACACACACACAGTACTACCACTCTGACTAGTATGTAAATAAAAGGTCCCCATCTAGTGGCGACTTGGCCAAAGGGCAGACACTCAATCCCAAAGGCCTATAGAGGCTTCCTTCATTTATTTATTCACTATTTCTTGAGCATCTACTATGTGCCGGCACCTGTCCTCAATGCTGTGACGATGGGCACCTGTCCTCAATGCCTGGGATACTGTGACGAACCAGACAGACAAGGGCCCGGCCTCAGGAGCTCATGCTCCGTCGAGGGGGGTGCACAGAAGCAAGTAAACAAATAGGAGAAGCGCAGACTGGGAAAAGCTCCATGAATTAAGTAAACGGGGATGTGGGACAGAGAGGCCCGGAGAGCACTGTGCATCGGGAGTCAGGAAGAGCCTCTCTGAGGAGATGAGATTTGGCCAAGACCCAAAGGGCGGGGTGGATCCTGCCACTGGCAGATCCTGGGGAGAAGCACTTTAGACGAAGAGAGCAGCAAGTGCAAAGGCCCTGGGACAAGACAAAGCAAGACGTGTAACATGAAAGAGGCCAGTGTGCCTGGAGCGGGGGAGGACGGTGAGGAGGGCATGAGACTGGAGAGGCTGGTGAGGGTCGCGGCACGGCAGGGGTGCTCTGCGGGCGGAGGAGGACTTGTCGCGGCTTCCCCGAGTGATGGGAAACCGCAGCGGGCTTTGAGCAGGAGAGTGGACACAGTTCAGGCCACACTTGGAGACGGTCCCTGCATTGAGGAGGAGGAGCTGCTGATAACAGGGACCGGGTGGTGTCCCAGGAGCTGGAGGGAGGAGGGCAGAGCATGGAATGTTTTAAACACGATCAGCGGGACCTGCTGCTCGACCAAGTGTGAAAAGTGAACCAAGGGGGAGGAGCCGGGTCGGCCCCTGGTGTCCTGGCTTGGGGACAGGCAGGGCGTTTGCTGAGAACGGGGGCGAAGGATGGGCTCGCGGGCGGAGGCAGCGCTGGTGTATCCAGGGTTCCCTTTGGAACGTCTTGAGCTGGAGATGCCTGGGACACTGGAGCGAGCTGTCAGGCAGGCGTCCGGAAACACGAGCCGAGCTCTGGGAAAAGGGCCGGGTTGGCCGTGTGCAGCCCACGTGCACTAACTCGGGGCCCCTCTGTGCAGCCCCCTCCCTCCCCTGCTTGTTTCCTCCTAGGCTTCTCCTCACTCCAGCACCTGTGGGCCGCCCAGCTGTGATCCGGAAAGGACTCCCTGTTTCTTTCCTTTCTGTCCTTGATCCTTGACTCCTGACCCCTTGCAGCAAGCTCCCTGCTCTCCCCAACCTTAGAACCAACCTCCCCCGACCCCCGCCAAGGGTGGCCCCAGAGCCCCCAGTGACCCTGTGTGTCTCTGCAGGCGGATGCGGCCTCGGTCCTGGTGTCGGCTGCCTCTGCGGACTGAAGGCCTGCGAGTGTGACAAGCGCTCCGTGCGCTGCTTCAAAGAGAGCCTGCCCACCTACGAGAAAAACTTCAAGCAGTTCTTCTCTGGCCGGCCCCGGTGTGGCAGGCGTAAGCCCCGCTGCTAGGGAGGCCGCAGAGTCTCCCTCGTCATTCTGCACCTGCTCTAGTGTCACACCTCCAGGAAGCCTTCCCAGATCACCCCTGGCAGGCTCCAGTTCTTCCCCAGGTCGGGGTGGGGGTGGAGAACAAAAGGTCCCCCCGAGGATAGCTTGCCTTTCAGCATTCTGGCCTCGGGGACTCCTTGTCATTGGGATCTGAGAATGGGAGAGCAGAAGTGCCGGGAAGGAGCTTGCATTCTAGCGGGGAAGGTGGGCTGCAAACATACGTGTGTGTATAAATATATAGAGAAGTGACACATTCAGATAGTAGTAAGTGCTGTAAAGCAATAGAACAGAGGGATAGGGTAGAGAGATACTCACAACCCCCATCGCAGGAAGTTTCCAGGACGGGAGAGGCCCCAGGATCTACCCAAACTCTCCCTCCACCCCCAGCCCAAATCAGGATGCAGGGCCAGACTTGGGGACCGGGCCCACACCCAGCCCTAGCTGGGAACAAAGGCCCCAGAAAACAAGGTCTTGGCACCCATGCCAAGGACCCGAGGGGCAAGCTGAAGTGTGCTTCTCATTTGCTCGAGTTCTGCCCTCAGGTGGGAATGAGTTGATGCCATTTTCACGTCTCAGGAGACAGAGCACTCCAGAACGTTAGCGCCCTGCCACTGCTATCTGAATGTCACAGCCAGGAGGGTGTCAAAGAAGTGGAGAAAGAGGG